CTTCCATCTACTCTGCTTTATCCTAATATTTATATTCTATAATACTTTTCTGATATCAAATATCTATATTATGGGATTTCTTTTTCTAAAGAAAGCTAATAGTATGAGGAAAGAGCTTTGAGATATGATTTATAGGAGTCCAAAGTTCTGTTTCACAACCTACTAAATATATGGATATTGGACATACTACTTAACCCTTCTTTGCTTCCATTTTCTCATTTATCAAACAAAGTTATCAACAGCTACCATACATGACTGTTGTGAGAATTAAATAAAAAACTAAAGGTAAAATTGTTTACATAGTCCCAGGTTGTAGCAGATGCTTTCTTCAAAGAACCCTGAATTTGATTGTCGTATTATTGTGGGCTGAACTGTGACCCTCCTACCTGCAAAGTCTTATGTTGAAGCCTAACACCCTATATCTCAGAATGTGACTGTATTTGGAGATAAGGCCTTTAGGAGGTTAAGTTAACATGAGGTCATTAGGGTGTTCCTTTTCCAGCCTGACTGGTGTCCTTATAGGAGACAAGCTAGACACACAGACAATAGGGGTGCACATCACAGAGGAAAGGCAATGTGAGGATACAGTAAGAGGTAAGTAATACACAAGCCAAGGACAGAGACCTTGGAGAAACCAACCAGAAGAAAGCAATTCTGCTGATACTTTGATCTTGGACTTCTAGTCTCTAGAACTGTGAGATACTTAGTTTCTGTTGTTTAAGCTGCCCAGTCTGTTGTTTTGTTGTGGCAGCCCTATTAAACTAACATAAATATATTTACTATTTCAGAGAATTGATCCCCACCTGTTCCTATTTAATCCTCTAATTAATAATAGGACAATGACTAAGACTATAATCTAAAAAGTTAGCCTTGAATTTTTCTCAAATTATTTTAAGTCTCAAAATTTCTTCACCTGTAAAATGGGGATAATACCTATCTCATAGAGTTAAATTAAGGATGAAGTGTAGAGAGATGTTTAAAATTTTCATAGTATATTATCTGACATACAGGCACTAAGTAAGTGGTAGAATTTATTATCTTTATGTATGATGGGTTATTTACATGTGCTCTGTCAATTTGGCAGTTTTCCCCAAGTCTAGTCAGTTTAGTAAATCTTCTGTGTGTGAAGTGCCACACACATACATACTTTCTATTAATACAGTTTTTTTGTTTTGGGTAGCATCTGTTACCTTTATTGTTTGCTTGAAGTTAAGAACACAAACCAATAAAGTGAGTTGTAGTATATTTTAAACATACATGCTAAAAATCCTTCTAATATATTAGATTTGTTTAAATGATTTGATAACTTTGTTCCAAGGACCAAGCTTAGGCTATTTTTCTTTCTTCATCTTTTTCATTCTCTGAAGACATCATGGCTTATCAGAAATTTCTCTCCATGAGGAATTCTAATTTGCAGTAGGAAGAACAAAGTTCTACATTTTTAGTGTCAGATTCAATTCTAAAGTTCTCTATATTATTTATAAGGTATATTTCATAGTCTGGTTTCATTTCTTTTACCACATGGTTTACAGAATAACATCTTATATCTCTTTAATTAATTAAGAATGGAATTTGCATCCATAGATATTTCACTGTGTTTCTCTTACCTAATAAGAGTTTTGAAGGTGAAGTCGCTCAGTCGTGTCCAGCTCTTTGCGACCCCATGGACTGTAGCCTACCAGGCTCTTCCATCCATGGGATTTTCCAGGCAAGAGTACTGGAGTGGGTTGCCATTTCCTTCTCCAAATTAGAGTTTTAGGCTATAAATCTTTATGCTCTTTCCTCAAATACATAATGCACTCTATCTCTTGCTCATTTCTATCTTTGCTCACAGTTTGTAAACTGGCATCATAATATCCTTTGTCCCGTCTCTCTCTCTCATTCTGAGACTGCAATTATGTGAAGATTTTACTTGCTGTCATTTATTCAAAGTAATATTTACTGGGAACTTACTGTGGTAACCCAAGGGTGAAAGAGCAGATAAAACCCAGGAGGGTCTTGGAATGAAGGAATGGAAAAACCAGACCCTTATCATCCTTCCCACCCCCAACGTTGTAACTATTAATGAATTGCAGGTCCTCCTGACCAGTATAATCTGTCTCCCCTCCTACCCCACAGGGAGAAGGTATTTGCCTTACTCTTTCCCCCACCCGGTATACATGCTTCATCCAACCAGCAAATGACCTGCAAGACCCCTATCCCACTCCTTGTACCCTGGCTATAAAAGTGGACTAAGGACCCCTGTTCAACGTCGTCAGTTCTCCCTTGGGCTGGCCCGCTCTAATAAACTTTTATTTCCCTCTCATTCTGTCTAACATCTGGAAATTCTTTTCCAACCCATGCCCATACCACGACACTTACTATGTATGACACAGTGCTATTTATCTTCCATGGAGAAAGAAGAATATTAAAATAGCCTCAAAGAGTCCACAATGTTAGCATTCTAATTGTATCTTTTTAGGCTGCTAATTGTTTGAAAACATTTATATATTCTGATGATTTTTCTTCCACTTCCCATTCCTATTTTTTGTCCCATCTGAAGAGATATATCCTCTGTCACTTCTTTTTAACTTAAGAAAGCCAATGAATTCCTTCTAGGTCTTCAAGCAAAGTCTTTGTCAATCTGTTTTGTGTGCTTTTTCATTCTCCATTCTCCCATGATTTTTAGAATAAAGCCACTGCTTAGTTTGCTAAGATAGTATAGTGTCAGTGACCAGTGGTTTTAGGGGGTGTGAGGGGTTTTCAGTTCAGTTCAGTCGCTCAGTCGTGCCCAATTCTTTGCGACCCCGTGAGCCGCAGCACGCCAGGCCTCCCTGTCCATCACCAACTCCTCAAGAGGCAGGTCAGGTGGTGGGGGTTTAGGGGGTTACAAATAATAACTCTCATTTTGCTGATTCAGGATAATATCTTCTTTATTCATTCTCATCAAAAGACCAAATGATCACTTGCTGTAGGTTTGGTTCCTTTATTTAAAAATTAAAGGAGTTGCCAGTAGACTTTCTGAAGGAGTAAAGGGCATCTAAATCTATTATTTTAGACAACAGTGTCTACTTCTCAAAAAATTAAAGCAATTCCATTCTCCCCTTTCTAAAAGAAAGCAAGATATAAAAAAGAGGAAAGAACACTCTTTAGTCTCAATAGGGACCCATACTTAGAAGTGAAATGGGCCAAGAAGAAGAGAAGAAAGAAAGACTGAAAAAAAGAAAAAAGAAGAAAAAAAGGCAAGGACTGATATATATTGTTAGGAAGCACTATAGTATTTGGAACCCTACTAAAAACTAGTTTACATTAGACATGGCATTTGTTCTAGCCTTGTTTTTACCCCTCCAAATGGTACTGGATATACTTGGGTACCATCTCACAGATCTTTTATTAGTAACTATTAATAACCCTATTGTTCAAAGTCCTTTAAGCACCTTTTATATGTAGAACATTATGTCAGTGCTGAATAAGATAGAAATATACAGTACCATGTTTGACTACAATAGTGTTACTTTCTAGCTGTGGCAATAACAGACTACCAGGCAGTATTGGGGGTTCTTTGGGAGGTCTCCAAAGGAGTAGAATAGTACTGAAGAAAATAAAAAAGAACATGAGCACTGACCTGAGGATTCCAAAAACTGGGATCTATTCCATCTCTGCCATTTCCTTGCTATGTGACATCAGACAACTCATTTCTCTTTCAGGTGTACCTTTTCATCCCTCACCCCTTCCATCCCCTTCCTCTAAAGGGGAAAAGACAAAATAATAAAAAGGAAAAGAAAAGAAGAGGTTATCCTAGAAGATCTCTAAAATGTAAGAATATATGAGATGATTACTAATGAACTCTGTTGCATTGGGCTTCCCTTGTCGCTAAGCTGGTAAAGAATCCGCCTGCAATGTGGGAGACCTGGATTTGATAAGTGGGTTCTTTAAGATCCCCTGGAGAAGGGAAAGGCTACCCACTCTAGTATTCTGACCTGGAGAATTCCATGGACTGTAGAGACTTTCACTTTCTGTTGCATTGCCCAGATTATAGACTACAGCTGGCTATGGTCCCCTGCGCTGCCCTTCATTTTCAGAGATGAAGAAATCGAGGTCCCAAATTCCCCCAATTCAGTAGCAGGTTAGGGCTCAGAACCACATCTTCCCTCCTGATGCTGGTTTAAAGAAAAACAAAAACCAAAAACAAAACCCTGAACCGAATAGTGCATCTTTCAAAATGATTACTGTGACTCATAGAAAAGCTTAAAATGTATTCTTGACATGGTTTACTGAGAAAAATGTTTCTTAAATTTTTTTTTCGTATATATGAAAATGGGGGGAAAAGCAAGTGTATTTATTGGAACAACGTGAACGATTCTTTCCTTAGGATCTGGTATGCTATTAATATAAATTCTGTAACTATAGCAATGAAATTCCATTTGGCAGATGTGACCTGTTAAGTAATTATGCAAGTAGCACAGCAGTGAGGGGAGACAAGCAGATGCACCCGGAGAGCAGGAAGAGGCTCAGAAGTGATAAACTGCAAGATAGTTGCCCAGTTCCCAGTATTGTCCAGAGTCAGACGAAAGAGAAGCCCTCCTGCAGCCCTGAAGGCGCCCAAGTTCGCACGCTTCCTGGCATTCTATTGATTCATACTTGCGTCCTTCAACAGGTAGCGCCAATTACAGCCCCCAAAGCACGGCCCCCTTGCATACTGGCCAATACCGCTGTCAATCAAATACTTCACCTGCCTTTCTAAAATTTCCCCTCCCCCTTTCATTGGCTCTTCCTTCGACCTATCCACAAATTTCTTCCGCGCCTCTCGACCGCGGAACTTGGCCCTTTGGAGCCCAGGATTGGAGCCGAGGCTGCTTCCGCCCATTGACGTAGCGGAGCTCTCCTCCCTTTTCTCGGGCCACTTGCGGCCGGGAAGGAGGAGCCGGGCGAGAGAAGGCGGGTGGCTCGGGGGCGGGGCTTGCCTCCCACGGCGGGAGGGCGGAGCTTGCGGTGGAGCCTGCCTGCCTGCCCCGTTAGGACCTCGGAGAGCGCCAGGAGCGGCTACCAGAGGGACTGGAGAAGCGGCCGAAGCCTGTCCGGACGGACGCCTGCGAGCTCGCGTCCGTCCGCATCCTCAGCTTTTCGGGCTGTCAGTCGGCTCGCGGCGACTCAGGAAGGTGCCTAAGTCGGGAGTCAGATAGTGATCCCCTTGGGACGCCGACGCCGCCGTCCAGCCGCAGCTCCCTCGCACCTTGTGTGTGTGTGTGTGTGTGTGTGTGTGTGTGTGTGCGCGCGCGCGCGTGAGCGCCCGGGCGCGTAGGTCTGCGTGAGGGTGTTTGTGTGTTCGCGCTCCCGCGGGCTAGAGCTCCGCGCCTAGGCGCTCGGCCTGGGGAGGGAGAGCGGGAGCGGCTGCTTTTCTCGGCCCGTCGACTAAGGCAGGACTCGGGCGCAACCGTCGTCGCCTCTGCCTTACGACCCCCAAGAGCCGCTGCCGTGCTGCTGGAGAGGGACGCGCGAGTTGGCGCGGCTCCCGCCGCAGGCAGAGCGGGGCGAGGAGGGGTGGAGGGGGAAGAGGGGAGGGGGAGGCGGAGGGAGAAGCGGAGGTAGTCGGCGCAGCAGCTCTCTCCTCCGGTCGGCTGTTGCTGTGGATCACCTGCAGGTGTTTGAGGGTACGGCTGTTCTGAGTGGGAAATAGAAAAAGCACACCCCCCACGCCTCTTTTCGTGTTGAGAAAAAGGGAGCGTTGAAGATGTTGGGGGAGACCCCCGAAGGTGGTGGCAGAATAAATACTAGCTCCCTTCCACCACCATTTTTTTTTTAAAATAAAAATACTCCGAGCTCAACCTTCAGGAAGAAAGCCCGCCTTTAAGAGAGTCTTGGTTTGTGGGACTCTGGTTTGATTGTATAATAATGATGATATAATGCTAATGACGATGATGACACTGCCTTTTATTTTTACCTCGGTGCTGATAAAGCGTAGTAGCTACAGCTGGGGATAAAGCCCTTGAAAATTTGAAATGTGAAGAGGAAATACTGTTGCTCTTGGAGTTTTTGTTTTATATTTTTGAAGGATATGTTTTTTATAATTAAAATTTGATAGAAGATTGATTCCCCCCCCCCTCCTTTTTAAAAAACTCATGTAAAAATAGGGACTGGCTAATGCCATGACTGAGGAAAGCTAAACACTTTCCCCACGTCTAATTCCATGTATTAAGCCCCCCTTTCCTTTGAATTTCTCCACAGTTTTTAAAATGAAGAAGTTTAATTTCCGAAAAGTTTTGGATGGCTTAACGGCCTCATCCCCTGGCAGCAGCAGTGGCAGTAACAGTGGTGGTGGGGCTGGCAGTGCTTCCACACATCCGACAGGGACTGCAGCGATTCTCAGAGAGGAGATTCAGGAAACCTTGACTTCAGACTATTTCCAGATTTGTAAGGTAAGTTTTGAATTGGCTTAAAGCTTATTCTTTCTTTCTTTTTGCTGCTGTGAGGAAAGAATTAAAACACACCCTCTAAGGGCTGGAAATTGTTCAGATGCTGGTATCAGAGAGTCTGCAGAGAATGCAGAGAGTTTTGTGGGTAAGGCAGTTTGTATTAAGATATTCCAGGCATCAACTTAAAAAGCAGTTATAGTTTAAGGGAAGTATTAATAAGCAAACATCACAAGTAGAATATGCAAGATAATATTAAGATGCAGTCTTGGACTACTTTTTAATTCGATATTTATGTATAGTTAACTCCATGTTGTCACTCAGAGAAACTAATTTTACTGTTCAGTATAAAAGGATTAAAGCTATTAAGATATCGCTAGAATTGAAAATATAAGAGCTAGATGAATACATCCATTAAAAGATCTAAAGGCAGTGTTTAAAATTCTGAATAAAAACGTACCTAGATTCTTAAATTCTTAATAAACAAATACTATGAGCTTAATACTTATAGGAACTCAAAAATAGACTGTGTTATTGTTTAGTGAGGAAACGTTTTAAGTGATTATACTTTAATATTGAGCTAATAAGCAAAAGAGTTTCTGATGGGGAGAGTGGAGAATTTACAAAACAAGCATTGTGTTCATATATAGAAGTATTGTTTTATTTTCTGACATAAAGGGATTTATAATTTTTATTGTTTCTTTAGGAGGTAGCTTAGAAATGTGCTTTTGACTTTTCGTGTTCAATAAAAAAGTTACCGAGCCATTTGTATGCATGAGAAGAAATAGTATATTTTTGAAATCATAGAAATTAAGTATTGCATTTTTGAGTAATTCAACACAAATTTTTTTGAAATTATTAACATCATTTTTGTAGTAAACAAATTATGTGTAGTAAACAAATCATGTGTAATGAGGTAAGTTTCAATTATTGTCTTAGTCTGTGTTCCCAGTAGGGTCATTATAAAAACAAGTCTATAATAAAATATTATAAACTAGTTTACATAAAAGTGAATTTATTTAGAATTAGGTTAAACAGACTTAGTCCTAACCTCCTCTGTGAAATTTGTAGACAGTACAGTTTTGTATACAAAATTGTGTACAATTTTATCCTCACTTTGAAATAATGGATATTTTGTCAAATAAGGGAGGAGCTTAACGAGACAAATATGTGAAAGGGTCCTGAAGGCCAGATTTAAACTGCTAGGCAGGGGAATTATGCCCAGATTCTGTAATCTTTGATGTATTACTATTACCATCCCAAGATTCTGAAAACAATTCCCTAAGTGTCTCAGTTCATGAATGTGATAGTAATGCAGGAGAGTTTTAGTAGAGTTAAAATTGATATAGAAAAGATAAACTTCTGAAACAGAATGGCATTGGACTCTTGAGGTTATATAGATAAGGTTTTAGGGGAAAGCAAGAGAGGAAAATAGGATAGATAATCACCTACTTATTTATGTAGGCAAGAGATAGTCATGCAAAGTGGCAAAAGTTAAATATGTATTATTTAAAAAAACATATGGCATGGTAGGAGGAACACCAACCTAGGAATCAGAACATTTGTATTTTATTTAAAGCTCTGTCACTTGTCAGCCATATAATCTTTGGTAAGACATTTATCTCCTTGTGACTTGAGCTTCTCATCTGTAGTATGGTAATAGGGCTTCTGTAAGTATTTCTGCTCTTCTTACCTGAGAGGATTGTTGGGAAGATCAAACAAGACGGTTAGGTGAAGGCAATGTATAAGTTGGAAGAGGCAATGAAACACATATTTATATTATTGTTAAAGTTTTAAAATTACCTTGTTCTTGATAGAATGACTATAACCAGTGGGCTATAAAATATTAAGTAATAATATTCAGAGAAATTATAAGGATAGATAGCTTTGTGTGCTGAACACTAATAGCATTGAAATTTCACAAAGTGGCGAAAGTACTGTGACATCCTTAGATAGGAATATAGTTAATTTAAAAAAGTGGTTGAATGATTTTAGGTTTTCTGGACTATAACAAAATATGTAAAGATGGATTAAGGATATCCCAAAATTGACTGTTGCTAAAATGGGGAATTAATTTGAACTCACTGATTAAATGTGCAAAGGATATTCATTTCTGAGTACTAAACAGTTGGTACCTTCTAAGTACTTCTGTCTTTTCAGTATGGCTAAAGCTAAAGTATAAATCTAGAATCTGCTCTTTTGAAAATCATCTTTTTTTCCATTATTTGATTCGTCTTCAAATCATGTTCTATTTTCTTAGTATTTCCATAATTTATACCCTTTTCATCATCTTTGTTACGTGTTTATTCTATCATATTTTCTTGCTTGGTCTCTTGAAGTCACTTCCTAACTGATCTTCTCACCTCATGTTTTACCCTATTCAAATTCATTTTGTTATAATGGTTATTTCTGAATTATAATGTTATTTATGTCATTTTCCTGCTAAAAATTCTATGTTGGTTTCCCTAGAGCAGTGGTGATCTACAAACAGAAGTCTTTGTTTTTTATATTTGGTTTTGTTATATGATATTATGCATAGGCAAATAGTAGGACATTTGCTAGTCTTATAAAAATACAGGCTTTATAATCAGTGACACATGTCTAAGAAGTTCAGAAACGAATGGCAGAAGAAATATTGGTTCAAGGTCAGCAAAAAAACAGGTTAATGCATCGGTTTGCTGAAATCTGTTTTAAGTTCAGTGTGTATGCATTTGAATACCCGGTGTTGTTCAGATATTTGTATGGCTTTTTTGAAATATTGAACTGCCTTTTCTGAACTTGAATTCCATGAAAACAGTCTGAAACAGTACACTAAACTTCAGACTATTTAACTTGATTTTTATATAGTTCCTTTTGGAAGGGGCTTGTGTTTACCTTTCCGTCCTTGTTTCCTTGATGCCCTAGATACACTACATTCTCAGAAAGCACCATCATTTTCTCATATCTCAATGCCTTTTCTTAGCTTACTGCTTCTGACTAGAACATCTCTTCCAGCTTTAATATAATTGGAGAATTCCAGTTACCTTTCATTACTTCATAGTTCAAACACCATCTATATGAAACCAACTCTGACCACTGCCTTCATCTACCTGCCCCAGACAGACTTAGGGTTTCTCCTCATGTCTCTCTTTTCCTGTAGCATCTTCCATGGTGTGAATTAGGGAACTTGTTGTGTTTTAAACTTTTGACACTATTATACTGTGAACTCTTTGGGAAACAATTATATTTTATTTTCTTCTCATTGTTAGGGTGCTCACTACCTTTTAGGCCAGTGGTTCTCAACTCTGCCTTAAAAGAAAGATTTCTAGCTCTACCCTAGTCCTAGAAAATCACAGTTTCTAAGGATGGAGCCTTGGCACTTATATCTTTTAAAAAGTACTCACAGGAGATTCTGATGCACAGTCAATATTGAGAATCAGTATAGTAGGCACTTGATGTACTTTATGAATGAAGTAGCATGTACATGGTTCATTGATTAATTGAAAAGAGATTAAATCATAAATATCATTGATAATGATATAGGTCTTAAATATTTTAACTGAAAACATTTAAATATGCATCAATTTACAAAGCACCTGATAACCAATCAAGATTTTTCTGTTGCATATTGATTCTCTGACTGAAGTTCTGTGTGGGCTTCTTATCCATAAACCATCCCAAATTCATTATGTGCAATTTTCAGTTTTTGTTTGTTTATAATAGAATAAGGATATTTATGCTTTCAGAGGAAATGTGTCAGGTTATATATATATATATATATATATATACACACACACACACGCACACATACACAGACATATATGTATTTCAATAGCAGTTTATACACATGTGTATAATCTAGATGAATATACACACACACACATATATATGCGAAAGTATATACAAAGTATAGATGAACAAACATATGTGTATGTATGTATTTTTTTCTAGATTCATTTTATGTTCACCCCTACAGTTACATGGCCCATACCTAGTTAGTCTGGGAGCAGGAGAGTGTGAGTATTCTAGCTACAGAGTTTAGTAGTTTTGAACATTTAATGAACCATTAGTATCAACCTGTGTTTTACAAAGAGAATGGAGAGTTTTTGTTAATCTAGCAAGTTGGTTAAATTAAAATTAGAAAGCTTCATCTGTAAGATATCCCATTTGACCTTCATAACAGTCCTGTAAAGACGTCGAGGGTAGTATTATATTTTTCTTTTACTGAGAAGATATCTGAGACCAGAGAATTTAACTCTCCAAAGTTGGTAAGAGACATAGCTAAGTTTAATGTTCTGATTTTTCATCCTCAAATCCAGTACTTTTTCTGCTTCATTTTTCTCACTTATTAGAATAGGCAACATAATTAATTCTTCAGGAAACATAGAAACTTTGAGAAGGTAGAGATTATTCTGTTGTCTCTCCCTTAAAAGTACAACACAAATCTGACCATGTCTCTTCTCTTGCTTGGACTACTATTTTATGGCCTTAAAAGAGTTTCTTTTAAGAGTTTCTTAAAAGAGTTTCCCCTGCTTTCACTGGGGCCTCACCACAATCTCATCTCATAATAGGTAGACGAATCCTTTAAAAATTTACATCATATCATGTCATTCCTGCTCAGAATTTTTCAGTGATTTTTCATTTCTCTTAAAAATAAAATCAGAAGTCCTATTATGTCTTATAAAGCTCTAAATGATCTGACCCCAGATAGACATCATTTTCAACTGTTTTCTGTTACTTACTCTACACCAGCTACACTTGCTTTCTTACTGTTTCTCAAAAATCTTCCTGTCTCAGGACTTTTTGCATTTGCTGTTTCCTTTACATGAACACTTCCCCCCTGCCCCACCCCAAATAATTACATTACTTGTTGTCTTTATATCATTCAGTTCTTGGTTCAGTTGTTAAATTCTCAGAGAGATCTTCATTGACCACTGCTCACTACCTTTGCTCTCTACCCTTATTCTGATTATGTTTTCTTGATAACACTTACAACTACCTGCTATTAAATTATGTTTACTTGGTTG